CAGCTTCTACCCTGAGGCTGTTAGACTCATGAATCTCTAACCAGAACAATCACTGTGAAAAAATCGCATCATGTTGCTGCTGATCTGTTTCAGTGTTGCTGCTGATCTGTTTCATGTTGATGTGTTCATGCGTGCTCATTTGCTCACACAGACTCATGTTCATGTTCGTGCTGATGTTTGACGTAATGTTTTTATGCTATTAGTGCTTAGTATTTATTTAGTTTATGTTTTTCTTAGTTCATATCTTAGATGTTATTACTGTTTTTATTTTACATTTTATTGTTCGATGTAACTGGGACCCTGTGTACATAATTTCGCTCCAACACATGTACCACATGAGGTGCAAATGACAATAAAGAAACTCTGACTCTGACTCTCTCTGACTCTGAAAGACCAACACAAAGTATTGCAGAATTGTGAAGTAAAAAGAAAATTATCCGTAGTCTTTTTCCCCCAAATGTTATACAAATAAAAATCTGAAAAGTGGAGTTTGTTTGAACTTCATTTTTGAAAATCAAAATGTTCATAATTTGGACCGAGAAGACAGAAAGTTTGAGAGGGGGAACGAAGGAAGCAAATGAACAAATGAAGGAGCAAATGTTCTTCAGTAACGGTGTTTGTGTCTGATCTTACAGGTTCTTGAAGCGGAGAGCAGCTTGGAGAGGAGGGTGGAGATCCTGGGAGAGAGGTAAAGCAGGTAAGGGATTCGTTGGACAGTGGCAGAACAGAAACCAGGAGATCAGGTCCAGTGTCGACAGGTAGATCACAGGTGATTCCAGAGGCAGTAAGTGGTTCCAGGCAACACAAGGAGACTCAAAGGGAGGTGAAATACATGAAGGGGGGTCCAGCAGGTCAGGACTTGAGAAACAAACACAAGAAGAACAGGTGAGTACTCCAAGGACTGAAAAACTTGCAGCAGGGGCTGTCACAAATTTACCCAAAAGGCTTCAATGATCGAGCATCGAGCTTCTGGCCCACAGGAGCTAGAGTCCTCCTTCAGGACTGGATCAGGAACTGGTGTGAGAAAATAGCTCCATCCTGCCACCCGGTCATTATTCCAGAGTGAAATATAAATTGTTGACTTCACTTCTCAGAAACACTTCATATTATTACTGAGAAGCAGTTAATTCTCTCCTCCTCGGTCACCTGTCCTGGTTCACTTTACTGCGGCGTTAAACCATTAAATGATACACACTAACAGACTGGTGTCTTTTAAATACTTGCAACTCCTTCAGCCTTATCCTATTTGTTTCCTGGACTAAAAGGTGCAAAAGGATGGGCGACAATGTTTCTGCTTGTGTCTGTTAGTAAAATATTAAATCAACCACTGACAAACTGTAATGAAGATTACAGAATATAATATGACTTAATGAGATTTCAGATTGCACACAAAGTAATTTTCCAGGTTTGTCTCTGTCAAAGTTTTATTAATTACCCTGAACCTTGGATGTCCCTGCTGGTGCGTTTGAGTTCGCGCACAAACACCCGGAAAAAAAAGATTTTGTGTCCTTTGTTACTCACCTGCCTGGTCTTTCTGTTTTAATCGTGTTTGGAGTATTTTTGAAGTGGAGCCATGAAGTAACCCCGTCAGAGTACTCTTGGCGTACATCAAATACGCACTGGGGAGTTTGTAGCGAGATAAACGCATTGAGCCTTGCGGGGACTGGCGACACGGCCCGATTTCCATCGGCCAACAGCGCCCTCTGCTGGCAGTGGTGCGAAACTACAGGAGCAGGGCTTCAGGTGATGTTGCGTTCACGTTCCTCAAATTCATAAATAAAACTTGTGAACAGCTGATACATAAATATGAGGTTAGTTCTCGTTAAGAGGATGAATCGAAGTTAAGTAGTGTTGTTTCCAACATCTTATATATACATTTAATTTTGTTTATAAATCATTTCCTTTATTTTTCTTCCTAAATATTTAGTTTGTCGGCCATGTTTTACTTATTGAAAATGAACGGACCTCTCTCCACATCCTTCAAACCTTGCTGTTTACAACTTTTACTGCTTGTTTCTGCTTCTGTTTTTCAGCTTCTTTCTTCTAAATTCATATTTTAGCTACTTTGTAGATTAATACTATGACTTTTTTTTTTGTCTCTTTAATTTTGGTCATTTGGGTTTCTTTTAAATATTTTCAACTGTTTTGCTCCTTTCAGCTTTTTTCTACTAATTTCAGTAATTTTTTGTTTTGTTTTTCAGCTCAGTTTCTCTCTTTTTCTGCTCATAGCAGTTTAATTTAAGTAATTTCAGATTTTTTTTGTAATTTTTCAGCCTCTCTTCCTATTTCAGCTTTTTCTACATAATTTTGCTCTTTTTCTGCTTTTATTTTCCTGCTTCAACAAATGTTCAAATTCAATTTGTTTTCAGCCATAAAGAAGCTGTTATACAGTAATCTGTAGCAGTGGACCAGACAAGCAAATACCTTGTTTGACCTTTGACCTTAAGAGCCCAGCGAAGAAAAGATCACGAGACATACTGTGCGACTGCTGATCAGGTACTATGGCCCGGACAAGAACATTTACGGATGGAGACCGTGCCATTCTTTCGACTAGTGTCTAAAAAAAAAAAAAAACATGTAGGCTTCAGCTTTGCCCATAGTAGCTGCTCTGCAGGACACCCATCCAAATTATTAAGACTCCCAGTTGTTTAACATGAGATGGTACACAGACACAGACACGTATTGAAAGTGCAGTTTAAGAAGTTGTTCATTGTTTGGGGTCAAACTGAGATTCTCTTGACTTTAAAACAACCAAAAACATTCATGTATCAGTCTTCTGCTGCTTGTCTGGGTATGCAGGTGCATCCGGTCAAGGAGGGCCCTCAGAGAGACTCTCCAGGTCCTCCTGAGGCGGCCTTCCCAGGTCAGAGAGGTCATGTAATCCCTAAACAGTAAAAGAAAAGGGCGAATATTTACATTTAACTGAAAAGCAAATAGAATTAGGAATACTGCCCCTGACTGATGGTGTGTCCCAGTTCTACTGGTAAGTGAGAGTTTACGAGTTTCGATTGGGAAACCACCTGGAATTCCCAGTTGGAAAGTAGGAGCTTCTCAGACTAGCCCCAGTTCAGAATCCAACATGGCCACTGCTTGTCACGAGGGTAAAACTGTGTTACTTTTAGTTAAACAGCAGTTCTGCACTGCTTTCTTCACTTTTAGTCAGTCGTGCACGCGCTCAGTATTTGTAAGAGGACATATTAAAACGCTGATTGGATTCACAAAATGCAGGCGTCTGTCTGTGGGAAATGAACGCCGTCAACACGTAAACACAGCATGTGTTCTGACCAATGTGAGTCTGCCCGGCTTGTGTGATGGAATGTGTTGTGTGGTGAGCACTGACTCAGACGCTGTGCGAGCTGAGCCGTAAGCTGGACGCGATTTCTGAGAATCGCAGGCCACTTGCAGCTCCTGAAACTCTCTGGTGGGAAGGAATTGACCTTGGAGAAGCTACAAGCTCTGCCCGGCGGCGTTGCCCACAAAATGTGGCTGTTTGGAGTCGCCATTGAGACGTACCAGTAGAACTATAATGCAGACAGAAATCAGAGTCGGCCTGACCCAAACAACAGTTATCATCTGATTCTGGCTCCGTGTCGGCCGTGAACTGGCCAAATATCTCAAACTCTCCTGGATGTTATGTGAACAAGAAGCTCTGCTCCCCCACACCCACTCTCTTCCCGAGCTACATCTGTGGACCTGTGTCAGAGCTGAGCCGGCTGATACACACTGCACCATCTCTTATCAGGACTATGTGGACTATCTGGCAGTGTCCATGGACAAACTCACTGCCTTCCTCATATATGTATGATGTCATCATCAGTATGTTGCCGTTTCTGTGCTGAGACTTTTTTTTTCCCAACTTTCACACTCTGTCTAGGACCATGTGTGATATGATTTTTTTAATACCTCCCCTTCCCCCATGTTTCTCTTTTCCCATCTAAATGAAAGAGGCTGTGCCTCCCACGGGGCCGCGGCCTCAGACACCTCTGTCGCCCCATGTCTGTTTTACTCAGACAGGCTGCACTGAAATGTGATTTTGTTTCGGTGCGATGACAACAAAGCTGATTCTGATTAGTACCTGAGCCACTGCGGGTGACATCACAGACGGCAGCACAGGTGTTTTAACTTCATAGATGAAGCAGGTGAAGAACAGAGCTCCGGAGCCACATGGTCCCTCTGCAGACTCTTTCAAGCTTTGACCTAAGCCAACGTAAAACTGAATTTCATTGGTTGTTGTGCCAACAGCAACAAATGGTTGTTATAGCAGATTTCTGCTCTTTTTTTTGGCAAATACGTGAATGATACTTGCACTAATAAAATGTAAGTTTAAAGAAGTAAAGCATGTACAGTAGTTTGTACTTCTTTAAGCTGATTTCCAGTCTCACTGTGATCTTTTTCTCAAATCCACCTGAATTTTGTAGCAATATATTTAAGAGAAGTTGCTGAAAAGAAACATGGTGAGTCTGTTTGATTAAAAAAGAAAAGTCAAAGTAAATTAAGTATTTCTATTTATTTTAATGATCAATTACAATCTGGCCTCATTTTTATATTCACTTTAACTTTATGCTTAATTACTGTACTTCAAGTAGGATAGTTTTTTGTGTTTTTTTTACAATTAAAACAAAAACTTACATGCTTTAATTTTTATTAAGTTGCTCAAACCTGTGAGTTTTTTCTTTAGTTGGCCTTTTTTAATGAAAAATATCAATAATTAGCCATCATTAGACATTGTTTGATAATGTCGCCCCCTACAGGCCAAAAAAGCTCCCTCCTATGAACATGAAGTGGTCCACGGGACACCACTTGATAATTTCAGTAGCATCAAGTTCAGCAGCTCCCTACATATTTTATTTAGTGAGCAAATGGGAAGAAATGGCTCTTTTAATGGTAAAAGTGCTTTAGGAGAAAGCGGTTGACTTTGGCCCAAACGTCCTGAGCCTGAACAGGTGAACGTTACTTCAGGTAAAACAGAACAGCAAACTAGAAAAGTGATTCCTTTATTGCTTAAAGAATACAGAATAGGCAATTGAAACTTGGCTTCCTGTGTTTTTTACACTGAGGATCGACCCGAGTCACAACGAACAGGTTTGGATACTGCACCCGAGGGAAATAAAGGAAATAACTTCAGCCTGGATATGAAAGGTTCCTTATCGTTTACACTGATCTGGAGTCAGTCCAGTTGCACCTACGCCTTTAAAAACAAACTGCCGTTAGTCTGTCATCTGTCTTTGGTTCAAAGGCGTAGCTCGCTGCCAATACTGAGGTGGTTCTAGGAAGAAAATGACACAAAGCAACCAGATGAGCTCAAATTGAACAAAGTGTCCGTTTTCTACACAACTGAACAAATTCACCCTTAAACGATCGATTGTTTAACAAATATACCAGGAAACGGAAACCTTAGAGTAAAACTGACGTCAAACACCAAACAAGGAGAGATCAGCGGTGCACTCAAACCACCGAATGTGACGGAGGACTACAGGACAGCCATGTTTGTTTTAAACCCCCAACTCATCCCAGGCAGCGCCTACCTTCAGCCGGTTCCCCACACATCCAGGAATCTACAAATAAAACATCAAAGACGGCGTTTGCCAGGAATAACAAATGAAAGAGGGACATGAGAACAATCGAACACCCAGCAGCCTTTTTATCCCCTTCGTTTTCAGCCCAATTTCTCTTTCGCCGTTCTTTCCGAAATGTGCATCCTCAGTGCTCGGAGACATCTTGAGGCTCTGTTGACGGCAGCACAGGAATGCGCGTGCACCGCCACAGTCCCAGAACTAAATTTTAGACGAGCCGAACGGTTTCCTGAGCTCACATGTCGTCCTCCTCGTCTTCGTCCTGAGAAGAACCGGCCTGCTGGGCTGCGCTGGCGGACGCCGCGGCCATCTGAGCCTGCTGGGCGGCCTGCTGCATCTGCAGCCACTCCTGCTGGGCGAGCTCCGCCTGCTGCTGCCGGGCCTGCAGAGAGCAAGAGACATATGAGGCTCCAGAGAGGACGGTGATGGACGTTCTGATGGTTAGAGCCTGAAGATCAGGTTCCTTTTACTCAAACATCACAGAGATTACTGGGCGTAAGATAATGACCACAACCCTTCCATTAATGATTGTCGCTGAAGATAAAGGGACAAACTTACAAATACTGATTTGGTGTGGTAGTAGCAGAGAGTCATTCTGAGCAGAAACACCTTTCAAACCGCATGAGATGGCACCTAGCATCACTTACAGGTTTGGACTGAAACAGCAGCAGCTCTGTCACTTCTCATTAGAAAATGACTTGAAACTCAGACATAAGAGGCAGCGGGTGGTATGCATTTCTTCAAGGACCGCTCTGCCTGTAAATCCTGACATGGATTTCTATTCCAGCAGCAGATTATTTTAACAGAGCCTGACCTGCAGGGATTACTGCAGGGATTACTTCGACCAGATGCTATTAAAATACACCACTGTCCGTTTGTATGTAATGATTTGTAAACATTAAAGTTTAATAGTTGACTGTAAAAAGTTGAATGTTTAAAGTCATTCAATGAAAATCAACATTTTTTTTCCAAACAGATGCAGTTGGAAAGATTTTACTTTAGTACTTTTCATTGATATAAATTTTCTGAAACATGTACACACACTGTGTAAATACTGTAGTCAGCTAACCTGGCTGTAGCGAGTGTAGATAAACAAATATGGTGGAATCAGTAGAAGCTCGTAGAAGATATTTAGGTGGAAACAAGAAACATGAATCTGCTGCTAGATGAGAATGAAACGAGGCAGGACGAGTGAGACGGCAGGACAGGGGAGGACGTATGAAGACCAGAGCCTGACATTCAAACACACGAGACTCACGTTTCAACTCTAACCTGAAATGTTTAAAAACCCATCTGTATTCTTTACTTAACAATATGCATCAAAACTGTCAGACTTCTGGATCCCAAGCAGCTTCTTTCAGTCACTTTAGCCGTTTCTAGAATAAATTGTGTTTCTTATTTTATGATTTTTTTTCCCCAGACCGCTCTTCCTGGCATTGCAGTAACTACCTTCATGGTTGTGTTTCAAATTACTTTGAAGTTAAAATCCTAGGACCTTCATGCTGCGAGCCGACCACTGCTCCTTCAGCCACAAGTCTACAATTAAGAGAATAAAAGCTTGCTGCTCCTGTTGCTCAGAGACATAAGCATGACCACCCATATTAATAAACGTCTAGTCTGTACTTTAGCACGCTACATTTCATGTGCTCACTTGGATCACAGGGGACCCATCAAACTTGCTCTGGTAATCACGTTTAGCTTCAAGCCCTGCAGGCTCATTCTGAAACTACAAATATGTACGCGCCAAACACACGACATGATCTTTTTCACCGAGAAGAACGCCTTTGAGCTTTTCATTGCATTGTTTTGACTTTATGCAGGAAGGCAAACGAGGGAAAACGCAATCATTAAACTTAAAAATAATAAAAACAGGGATACGCGAGGGGAGGATGCACAAAACAAGCGGAGCGGCTGCGTGACGATTACATGAGGAACCATTCAACAGGCTCTGGAAGTGGATAAGCTAAATGTCCTGACCCGTATGGTTCTCAGCACGTTTGTTCTGCATATCATTACACGCTGTGATCACAGGCACACAGGCTAGAACTGCTCTCATTTCCTGTCTGTGGTTGTTACACTGTTTTCTCCTTTCCGGCAGCACAGCTCAAAATGAAACTGAACTTAATTCAGTCTCACTGTTTCACAACCACCCCGTTACTAAACTGAGCATGTTCATTCACAACATGACAAGGTGTGTATGCAGCGTTATCACCTGCCACCAAAAGGCGGATGATATTGTTTTTGTTTGTCCGTTACCAAAACATCTCATGAAACATCTGTCATGAGTTTTGGAGTCAACCAAATCTGAGATGGCCGCTAAAGCCAACTGTTCTTAGAAAACACAAACAGCTCTTTTGTGTTACAGACGTGGAGCTAAAATAGTTGTGGCAGTAGCTGTCACATACATTGAGTTGAAATACAGCACGACATACATTTCATCCCTTAAAGCTATCTTCAGAGATCCCACCTTTGCAAAGAGTTCCTGCTGCTGTCTGAGGAGCTCCTCTTCTGGGATGCCCAGGTTCTCCAGCCGGGAGCTGGCCTTCCTCCTCTTCAGGGCCACACTTTTACACTCCTGCAGGACGTCCTTCACCTCCGTGATGTACGACGCAAAGCCGAGGCTTTCAAGGGCTGAAACAGAAAGACGAAAGTGCCAATTAATGACTTTCAGAGAGGGGTGTGAAACCTGGAGGGTCGGGACGCACCGTTGATGACATGCTCGGGGGAGATGGTCTTCTTGTCGGATTTGTTGCATATTTCGTTGGCCTCGGAGGAAATGAGGTGGATGAACTCGGTGCAGCAGTTGACCACCAGCTCCCTGGCATCGTTGGCCACTCGGACGTTCGGGAGAGTTTCTTTAATCATCTTGTTGATGGCCGCTCTGGGGATGGTGAGGTCGTCGTCGTTTCCAGAGGAGGAAGCCATTGTGGCAAAATGCCAAACACTAAAACTAAACAAACGGCTCTGCCTCTGGGCAATGAGGTGAAATGGGCTCTCTGGAGTTAAAGCAGGTCGAGTGAACGTCAACACAACCAGTGAAGACGTTTCCTCGAAACTAGCCGGTTGGCTAATCGATGCGTGCTAAGCAATCAGCGGCTCGTCTCTGTTCACTCCTCATATGAAAAAATAAAATAAAAAGTCCCACAAACGCCACCACACAAACAGAAGACCTGCCTTACTAACTGGTAACCAGGCTAGTCAGTCGGCAGCTGTGGTCCGAATCGCCTCGCAGAGAGAAGTGGAGGCTAACGCTAGGCTAACAATGAAGAGCATCTGCGTAGGCAGCTTTTTACAGACGACGGCTTGGGTAAAAACGGTACTAAACTACGAATAAAACCACTTTACAGTTCCACAAAAAACGACTAAATCAAAGAAACTAACAGCTTACGAAAATCAATTTAGAAATATGTGTAATCTGGGCAACATTAGCTTAAATTAGACCGGATGTGATGTCATGCAAAAACCGGAAACGAGGTGTTTGTCGGCGCTGAAGAAACTTTGCGAGAAAATATCGCCATCTAGGGTCGACGTGGAGTACAACACGTTCCGATTTATTGTGTTGGACATCCATCCATCCATCCATTTTCTTTGCCCGCTTATTCCATTTTGGGTCACGGGGGTCGCTGGTGCCCATGTCCAGCAATCACTGTGCGAGGGGCGGGGTACACCCTGGACGGGTCGCAAGTCCATCACAGGGACACATAGAGACAAACGAGACAAACAAACATTCACTCTCTCACTCACACCTAGGGACAATTTAGAGTTACCAATCAGTCTAACATGCATGTTTTTGGACTGTGGGAGGAAACCGGAGTACCCGGAGAAAACCCACGCATGCACGGAGAGAACATGCAAACTCCACCCAGAAAGGCCCCTGGACCGGGGTTTGAACCAGGGACCTGCTTGCTGAGAGGCAGCAGCTCTACCAGTTGCGCCACCGTGCTGCCCTGTGTTGGACATATTCTTGTCAATTTCCACAGTAAAACATAAAACGCGCCACAGAAAACGAAAAGGGGATATTGTTAATGACCGTGTCTCAGATTTTGATGACACTTTTAGAAAGTAATCAGTGATGGCCAATTCACTGATTATGGCTGACTGACCTCCACCAACACAAACATGTCAATAATGAGCCATATTCACAGTTAGTTAGTGAGTTAGCTGAAGTTTAGTGTGGTAGTAGCTGATAGTCATCCTCAGCACATACTTCAAACATATCTCACAAGATTTTAATATGGTGTGAAATTGTGCATAAAGTTATTTTTTGAGGCTGCAGACATTTAATATTCCTTCACTATGCTAGGCCTTTGCTTGGGTACCTGGAAATTAAAAAAATATATAATTTTTCTAATTTAATGTGTTTATTTGTTTCTTTACACCATGTTACTGTCTTGAAAATTTATAATCCAGAGCTGGAAGATTTAATCAGTTAAAGATTATCACTGTATCCTGTTGAAAATGTCAAGATGTGTAACAGAACAACAGAATAAAGTATGTGGTTTATGCAGGATATTGTAATTTTATTTGTCATTTTTTGTACATTTAATCACAAAAGTCTAATAGTTTCCTTTAATCTACACATGCAATCTAGCACCTGTCACTAATGAGCATGAAAACAAAATCAGTTGTTCTTGTCCTTTTCCAGGGAGAAACTCTTCCGACTTCTCCAGCGCAGCAGCTTGAGGAAGTTCAGGCTGGCACTGAAGACCTTATCATATTCAAACACCATTTTGTAAAATGTCTCAATCGGAAGGTCACCACTGGGGTCAGCGTATTTAAGCGTGGTCATAGGGGTGTAAAGAGTGTTTGTCTGATGGCGAAAAGGGGGATTCTCCATGGTGATGATCTTATATGTATGCTGGGAAGAAAAAAACACGGCAGGCAGATACAAAAAGTTTGATTAGTAATCAAGTGAGAAATGATGAGACGAAGCACATCCTGTGGTTGTATACCTCTGCCACATCCTCCGCAGTCTGCCCAAGGCTTTCAAAGATTTGTTTGAAGGTCTTCAGGTACATGTTTGAGAACATGTCAGCTGTCACTTCGTCAGCTTTGCTGAGATCCGTCTTCAGGGCCTCCCCATACACTTTACCCTCAAACTCTGTTATCACTGGACCCGGCTCAATCAGGCTGATGCTGAGGCGAGAAGAGCAGAAGAATTCAAACCCATTCAGTGGTTCATGAGATAGCTTGCTAACACAACTGCCTTTGGCAGCAATAATAAAATGTGCGAGCATGGGAGGCGTCACTGTCTTCTGCTGAGCACAGAGTCAGTAAATTACCTCAGCTTAAACCTCAAGGCCTGCACTGCTAAGCTTTCACAAAATCCTTCCACCGCAAACTTGGAGGCTGCGTACACGTCGTTGAATAAAATCCCTACAACGGGGAAAGATCAAGACACTGTGTCAAAAATAAAATAAACTGGTCTGAACAGAGGTTAAAATGAGAAAAACAGTGGCTAAAATTAGCCAAATAGGATTAGTGAGACAGCTCTTAAAGATAAGCGGTACTCCAATCCCCCCCCCGGGGGGGGGGGGGGGGGCTAATGGTGGCCTCAGCCACAATAAATTAATCTTTAGACAGACCAATCTTTTGAGGAAACTGTTCTTTGAAGCAATATACTAATACTAAACTAACAAAACTGTAACCAAATGTAGAAAATGGACACTGATGCTAAAACATCCAAAGTTGTAGCTTAAAGTTGAAAGCACAGCTAAAGCTAAAATAAACAGACCTGCAGCTAAATGTAGTATAACAGTAAAGGCAAAGTAACTCCTACAATCACCCTGCAGATGTTGGATGTTGTCTATCACTGTGCACTAAGATTCATAACTGGCTGTGATCATCATACCCACCACTGCACTCTGTATTCACTGGTTAACTGGACATCATTAACTTCACGCAGACTCTCTCACTGGTACATTTTCATCTTTAAATCACTTCTTGGTCTGCTGCCTTCATACATCTCCTCCTACATGTCTCTGCGTGAGTGCAGCTACAGCGTGCGCTCTCAGGACATTATTACCTGCAGTGTTCCCTCAGTGAGGACTGAACTTGGCAAAAGAGTCTTCTTCTACTCCACTCCTGTTTCCTGGAATATCTTACAAAAAGACCTGACGCTCTCGACCTTGACCTCTCTAAGTTGCTTTAAGAATCTGTTGGACTCATAGCAAGGACCAATGCAGACATGTTCCTGTTTTTAGTTTTCTACATTTGCCTTATAATCTAGCTGTTTTGTTACTCTTTTAGCCATTTTATTTGTAAAAAAGAATATGTATGCCTTTTTATAACTGTCTATTGTTGTAGCTGTTGTCCATTGTTGTCGTCATTTTTTGTTGAAATCAGTTCTCTCTTGTAAATGAGTCCTCGAGGCTCAATGGGATTAACCTGTCTAAATAAAGGTTGAATGAATGAATGAAAAAACAGAACAGTGCTCCTGACGCTCACCCTGGATGCCCATGACGCTGCTGATGACCACAATGTGGCCTTTTTTCCTCTTTTTCATGTCAGGCAGGATTTCCTTCAGCAATCGTACAAGTCCAAAGAAGTTGGTGTCCATCACCGTCTTCATCTCATCAATGGACTGGCACTCAATGGGTCCAATCATGCCCATCCCAGCATTGCTGACTGTGACAGGAAAAACAAGAGGAGCAGGAGTTTTGATCAAACATATCACTTTGCTACGAAACCAAATTTGAATTATAAAAAGTTCTGTTTCTTTGGACTCATTTGTTGACAATGATGGAGGCTTACTGAGGATGTCCACACGGCGCTCAGGTAGACTGTCCACACAGGCTTTAATGGACTCCTCACAACAAACGTCCAGCTGCTTGATCTCCAAGGTTCTGCCCAGAGTCCGACCGGCTGCTTCGATGAGCAGCTCAGACTTACTCAGGTTCCTCATGGTGGCATAGACTAAAGCAGCAACAGCAACATCAGAACGGTGCACTCACAGAGAAGCCATGACAAACATTATGCACTTCACTTTCTGAATATTTTGTGGTTTTTGAAACTTTCCATATTTCAAAACGTTCAGCTCAGTCAGGAAACGTGTCCTGCTGTGACTTTTCGTTTTCATGGCCGCATGTTTACCTTTAATTTCAATCAAATTTAGCATAGAATTACAACGAGATTTCTTCTGTTGTTCCAAAACTTAGAAACGTTGTGTTCTAATGCTACCTTTAATTATTGTTTTGCCACTTTTAGTTGTTGTTTTGCTACTTTTAAACGAATTATTCATGTTTTAATGGTAAAAATGAACGGCTAAAGAGAGGTCAAAATCTAAGGTGTTTTAGAAAAGCAGCTGTCACATCACCCATAAACCTCTTCTTCTCATCGTTCGCGATCTTGGTCGCCAGAGCGAGGCCGATCCCAGAGGAGCAGCCCGTGATGAGGACCGTCTTCTGGTCCATTTTGTCCCGTTGGTCCTGCAGGTCCAGCACAACCCAATGAAGAACTAAAGACGCGAGGCCCTCCTAAAACCCCACCGTTAATCGTCAGAGCTGCAACTCAGCAGAAACCTTGTTCACATGACGTGAAGATTAGCAGGACGCTCTGCCGCTGCTGAGGGTTAAACCCTTCCAACAAGCTCATTGTTCAACTGGAATGATGATGGGAAGTAAAAACGACAAGACAGCTGAAGCATGTGGTGCCAAACTTTAGATTTTTTTATTTTAAATCAGCGTCGATATTTCTCTTTAAAATTAAGACCAGAATACAGGAGAGATTTGTAACATTTAAACAATAATGATCCATTTTTATATGGCAGTCCCTTTTTTATGACATAATTCAAAGTTCTTCTGAGACAACTTGGAGGATTCTATTGAGCTTTCTCTTAGTGGCTTGAAAACAGTTTATTTTATTAAATGAATGGGTTAAAACTGCAACTTAAAAGAAAATGAAGTGAGAGTTTCATCTTAAGGAATTATTTTTGTGACACTTTGAGCATAAAACTTCAAGATTTTGTTTAAAATCTGGTCTACACTGAAACACAAAAGTAAAAATCTTAAGCTCATCTGATTAAGATTAAGCGTTTGGTCCAGCAAGATGAATGTTTAGCAGAAGCAATACTTTTTTTTTTTCCTGCTAATAGATTTTGATGCTCTCTGCATTACTGATGAGCTTTGTCCCACATGTGGCTGTCCCAAGCATGAAACCAGCCGGTGAAGGACGGTGGCTCCTGGCCCTGCTTGATGGTGGCGATGGGGACCCCGCGGCGACCAGCAGGGTCACAGTCCACGTAGACTTGGGCTGGAAAAATCACAAAATCAAAATACATTTTAGGCTCAAACCATTTCTGGAAGTATTTTTTTTTTCTCTAAAGGTTTTCTTATTCTTTCTGTACCGATCTTTGGAGCTCCTGCTTTCTCAGCGTCGTTGGCTTCATTTCCAATCCAAACAAAGATCTGAGGACGGAAAAAAAAAAAAAAAAGGTTTAGAGTTTATACGTTAAACAAGCAGTACCTTTATGTTCCCCGTTGTTGAAGGATTTGAATAGTGGATGTTTGTAGTTTTGGAGATGAATGCTTTTCTGGACTGGAACTGAACAGAGTGAAGTAAACCTAAATGTTTTTGGTGCAAAATATTCAAGTGGAGGATTTACACTGTGGAGAAGAACAGAGGGAGGTTTTGATTTCCTGGATCCTGGAGAGTGGAGGGAGACATTAATCTACCAGGTGCAATGGAGGAGCCGAGGATGGGGGGGTGCAATGGTGACCCTGACCAACATAGATTAATCTTTGGTCGCACAATAATTTAATAAAACTAATTTTAAGCCAAATAAAACTAGAAAGCATAGTTTCCTGAAATGAAAGGGGTGGTCAGTTTATATATATATATATATATATATATATATATATATATATATATATATGAAGGGGGCCATCTTGGATTTTGACGTAGCAACCCAAATTTCAATTGTGGCGTTTCTTACGCTCAAATGCAGCCACACGCTGAAATGGAAGTCGCTGCTTCGCTTATTTTTTATGTTATAATGCACACAACATGGACAGACAAATGGACTAAAGGTATTCCCAGTTTCCCTGCTTCGCACCGCAATGGGACAAAACAAGGTCTAAATGGTCCGATACTGAAGTGTGTCACTGTGGTGTCAGACCTGATCCCAGCTGTCCAGAATCATGACGTCATCAGTTGCCAGATCGAGCTGAGTGAAGTCACCAGGCACCTCTTCTGCCTACACATGGAGATACATGAGATAATCTCTTTATTTGGCCTCCATCCATTATTTTTACACACTTCTTCTTTTTCGGGTTGCAGTGGTCGTTATTTGGCCTCGTTACATGAAATTATGAATTGTCACAACAAAACAAAAGCAAAGCTTCACACATTTTTATTAAAACAACAATGGTAAGTTGAATACTCACAATGAGCCTGCCCGTCTTGTTGGAACAGCCGAACAGTCGAGGGGGTCTGATCACATTCTGCAGGGTCTTGGAGGTCTGGTAGCTGCCCTTCCCACCCAGTGCTGACCAGAAACCATCTGAAAACAACCAAAAATGTGCTGTTTTACACACACACACACACACACAAAGTACACCATCCCTGAAGTGACCAGAAGTTTATTTTGGGTTTTACCTGGCTCTTTGGTCTCCTCCACCTTGGTGACAGACCCTCCCAGAAACTTGGCAACGCTCTCAGCTGCAGCGATCTCATCTGAACTTGCACCTTTCCCCTTCCACACGAACAGGGAGGTGGGTGTCTTCAGCACAAACACATCGTTGGTGTTCAGGGAGGAGGCTTTGACTTCCACCTGGGTCAGTGAGAAACGGCGTGAGGAAGGAATGAGATCCACTGTTCAAAGAGAATTGTATTCATGGACAAACGAGGAGCCGACAACGCTGACCTCAACAGCTCGAGTAGCTTTGGTGGAGCTCTGGCGGATGTGGAAGAGCCGTGTGCTGCCTGGCGTGCTGTTACCACCTTTACGGGACGTCCCACCCAGGTGGACGACAAAGGGTTTGTTTTTAAACAAGCTCACAAGATGGGGGGGTTCCTGGCCCTGAGTGACCCGAACCTGAAGAAGCATAAAATGTATTCAAGTTTTTCTGCTTTTTTATGTATATTTAGCTTTAACTGGGACCCACGGGTTCAAACAGACAAGACAACAAAAGAGACTATGGTAATACGGCCGCCTTTCGACGAGCGTATACGAATTAAAGCAATTGTGTCTTTTAATGCCCCCTCCCCATAAAGATGTGAGATGTGCAGCATCTCACCTGTGTGGCCACTCCGCCCATAGAATCGTCCAGTTTGACGGTGAGAAAAGCTGAAGCAGTCAGTTCATCTTGAGTACACTTCTGGCCTTGCCTGCAGCAAAGTCACATTGTTAACGTCTTTAAGATTTATGAAAACTTCAGGCAAAATGAGTCATGAAATCATATGTCTAAAATACAAGACTTGATGCTATGGGGCACAGTAAAGATCAAAGATTCACGTCACGTCACGTCACGTAGTCACACAGGATTTTATCAATAATCAGGTTTTTGGGACAATACTCTGCAACTATAAAATAATCAAATCGAATAAAGGGGTTTGAAATAAACACGTCTGCAGTTGGTTTATTTGTGCAAAAGTTGAGGTGGACTTTCCTACAGAATATTCATCCTCTGCAGGTTTGTGCATGTCCAAAGGAAAGGTAGGTAAGGATGGTTATCAAATGGCCAGCACAAATCCCAGCTACGAGTTCTGCTTGACTGAAGAAAAACCTCAGATACCTCGTAGTTGAAAAGATTTGCATTAAGAAATGTAAAAAAAAAAACTTTGCAAGAAGACATCAGCAACTTATGGGCATTAATGTGAAACTGCTACATAAAGTAAATTCTGTTCAATGCAGCATTGCAGCCAAGGATGCGTTGATATGCAACCCATAATGCACCGGCATTATTTCTGTTAATGGTTTTTTGGCTAAGTTGTTAGATATACATATATATATGTTTTCATTTTCATTCATCTGTAGGAACTGTTTTGAAGTATTCCTTTCTTGTTTGTGTGATGGATGGACCCAACAATTTGACACACTTTGTCATATTGTTGGTGTGAGAGTTAAAATGTATTTTTATTGGTTAATATTATTTGTACAGAGCAGGTTTTTAATGGCAAAAAGGTGTTGTTGTTGTTTATAAGAGTCCATCAACATTTTGTTAACTTTGCTGATGTTATAGCTGCCTCAGGTCACATAGAGGAAGCTACACCTACCAGGTGTAGATGAGGTACTTCTGTCTGCCTCCATCTTGGTAGGAGTAAAGCACCAGGTAACAGTCACCACCATAGAAATGTCCATAACTGGAGGGGTCCACGAGCGCTTTATCTTTTCCTTCCACGCGCCAGATCTATGAATACTGGACACTGTCACATGCGTGCTTTTGTATCTGAAGATAGTGCGATCGTGGGTAAAAACAGGAAGAGTACCTTGACGTTCCCGGAGCCGTCATCCACCATGCCGTGCTGGGCAGCCATGGCGTTGTTGCTGTGCAGTTTGGAGGGGTCGAAGGGAATCTGATCAACTTTAGCGATGCCACCCACAGTGTAAGTCTTTCCTGTGGTCTCTCCCTCCAGCCATTTGAAAAAGAACTGCTTGAACAATGTGGTCTCACTTCCTGAAGGAATTACCTGCACCTGCGCTCGGCACAAACACAGTTATGATGGTTTTTCATTAAAAACGTGCGATTGGAGATGACTTTGTCATCTGCATTACCTTTGTTTTTGGGGAGTAATTTTTGTCTTGAATAAACTTGCGTGCAGCTGTCATTGCAGCTTTACGCTCATCTGCATTTGCATCTCTTCCTGCAGGATGAGATGTGGTGCAGAGACCAGAGTTAACAAGTGTTGGTAAAAACCAAGAATCAGTCGGTTCGTCTCAAATTGATAAATTGATAAATAACATTTATCACCTTTCCAGACAAATATGTTGTTGTTTGCTCCATCGTCCAAGATGTAGCATTCATTTTGAGAGAGCATGCCTTGTTTGAAGGGGCCGTTAGACTGGAAAGTTACAGACATTTGACCAGTGGCATCGGAAATCTGGAAAAAAACAGGGATATTTAAAAACATGTTCATTTAGTACTCAAAGTTTATAGATAATATGCAGTGGGTTATAAAAGTATTCACCCCTTCTTTCTCTTTTGCTGCTTCATAACCTGGAATTTTGTTTCATTTTTCATTCATCACAAGTTTCAAAAATGAAATTGCTTTAAAATAATTCAAGTAAATGAGGAAATGAATAAATCTACAAATATAAGATTGAAAAGAGTAAGTGGATAAGTTTTTTTTCAATTTATGCAACAGTTTCAGTGGAAAAATGTTCTCATAAAGTGGGGTTACCACTTTTCAACACCAACTGACCCAGTTACTTTAAGCTAGATGGGTTCCACATTAGAATTTGGACTAAAGTTTGTGCGTTGACTGGGTCATTCCAGGTCATTTCTAGTTTCTCCTTGAACCAGTGGAGGTCTGCTTCAGCAGTGGTCAGTGTCTGTTCTGCTGGGAGGTGGTAAGAATTTCTTTACAGTTTCGCTCCATTCATCTTTCTTTTAGCTCTGACCAGTTTGCCAGTCTCTGACAATAAAAACCATCCCCACATCATGATGCTGCCACCACCATGCTAAAAGGACGGTGTTCTCAGCATGTTGAGAAGTGCTGGGCTTGCACCAGTTGTGTTGTCTTTGATGGACAAAATGGACAGATAGTACCATCACTGCAGGAGAGCTGCTCGGCTTTGTCACGGGGGGGGGGGGGGGGGGGGGGGGGGGGGGGGGGGGGGGGGGGGGGGGGGGG